TATGACAATGCAGACCTATTGGATTTAAATCTGTGACATGTACAGGGCAATTAGAACTCATCTTTGAGCCTAGTGAATTTCTAGGTTAGTGAGAATTTTAGAAGTTATAATAAGGGCATGCTGACACATGCCAAAGTCAGTGACATGCAGAGCATGGACATAACATGAAATGCTGTACTGAATGCTATTCTACTATTTTGATTTATGTCATGAAAGTTTTCTCCTTGTTTAATTTTATAATTCGTGAGTTGCACAATTGGAAACTGTGAGGAAAAAAAGGTTACTATTTACTGGTTCAAGCCAAAACTAATTATTTCTAAATACACTTATCTAACTCTCTGCTACTTAAGAACTGTGTGTGTTGCCAGAAAACTAGAGACAAATCATACCCAAGATTAGGTTTTCATGTACATAAAAGTGAGTTTCCCATGAACATATGAGAATATTGCTTCTTAACAAAGAAAAGCTGATGATCAGTAAACAATATTAAGAATATTGAGACCTTCAAATCTGCCCCTGCTTTTCAATAATAATAATAATAAAGAAATCATTCTGAAAAATATAAGCAATTTGTTAAAGGCATTAGAATAAAAAAAAATCAAGAAATATAAATATTCTGGCAATGATTCATATGCATTTTGAAGAAGTGCATATTTTGATGCCTGTAAATATATCAAAATATTTTTAGTCACTTATATATATGTGGTAAAATCTGCTTATATAACCTTGTAAATAGCTTTAAGATTTTTTTTGTTACCATGTTCATAAAAGTCACTGGCTATTCTTTATGTTGCAACCTGACTTCTAAGAAATTGAATTAATGGAAAGCCTAATCTTATCTATCACCATAAGTGTTCATTGGACTCCTTTGAGGACCCTTGGTCTCACTGGAGGACTCAAAATAATTTTCTTTTAGCATCAGGATAGCCAACTCTTTTTTTCATAATAATAGAAATTGAAAGAATGTATATTTTAAATTTTTGGAAGTTTCTGGAAAACAACATTTTCAAAACTATTTTTTTAAAAAATCTTAATTCTAATTTGGTACAAAATACTTTCACTCATGGGAGAGGAAGATCCTGCATTCCCTGAGGTTTTGGGGTACTGGTTTGCAATAAAACAGTTGGAAGAGGACTAGAGAGAGATTTGGCACATCCATTTGCCTTACTGCTCCTCTTTGTGTGTCTTACCAACCCACAGCCACAGTCTGCCACAACTCTTGAACTACAGGTAACAAGATCAATGGCACTATTACTTTAATCTATGGAAATCTACAAAAGGCTTACCATTTAAATGTGTAGACTTTCCATTGGTTTTATATTTGCAAAACATTTTTTTTTCCTAAAGGGATTTCTATGCTCACTGTAAAAAAGCACAATATGTGTTGGTGAGACTATCATGTCTAGAAGTGAAATACTGGGAAGTGTTAATTTCCTGACCCGCAAATATAAAGATGTCAATAAAGGGGAAATGAGTACCTGTTTTACATGTGAGACCTCTAGATCACATTTTAATTCACTGTTTTTAACCTGTAGAGGTTTATATCAGTTGTTTCACTAAGAAGCATGGGTTGGATAAAGGGCTTAAATAGACACAAAGAAAATAAATTATTTGCTTCTGCAAAGGGGAATCTTTTATTTATTTCTATTTTAAGAAATACTTTCCATGAGCCAACAGAAAAAATATAACAAAGATAAATTATATCCCATGTGAGTATGAGGGATAGGCAGGAGGTAAATCTAAAATATTGCTTAAAACCCAAAAATAAACCTTTTCTTTTGTTTCATATTTTAAATTACCTTTCTCTGATACAAACTAGGTCAGCTTGTAAACCGAAAATATAAAATAAAGAAAAAATGTTTCTGCATTTCTGGTGAGAAATATTTTAATACCTTCAAAGGAACATATTCAAGATATTTTAGAACTTTCCCTTTTCTAGCAATAATTCTTTTGTTATTTCAGCTTCATTTCATATGGCTTTGATCTTATGAAATTTATCTTTTTACTCAAATTAACCACTGATAATTAAAAAGAAAAAGATGTTCTCTGCTATGGATAGATCATCTTGCTTCATCGCATATAGCAAATTGACCAATTATATTATTTGAAAACTCTTTTTAAAAGCTTTTTTGTCTTTCCTATAGTTCTGTAGTTTCTGTCAAATAAGTAGTTACCTTCTCCATTAGAGAAGTTTGTTGTTTGGGAAAGAAAAATTAATTGTATGAATAGGATTCACTCATAGATGTAAATGTCACTGTGATAGACCATCAGTAAATCTGAAAGGAAATCAAATTCTCCATATGCTATTAGAATAATACACTTTTTCTTGGAGAGATGAGCATTGCAATGTGGAGTGTTACAATGAGTTTATAGTAGAGATTAAAGGTATCAGAAATATGGCAATTAAAAAATATTATAAAGAAGCTGCATAGCAAACCTAAATTTTCTCAAAACATTGAGGAAATAATCTACAAGTATAGGACTTTTGCATTTGCAGTAGCATGCTGCAGTCTCTTTTCAGATGTAGATCAGCCAAAGAATAACAATAAGAAAAGTAAATTACAGCTGTAAAGCAGATTTAGGCATTCTGTTTTACTAATAGATGGGTGTTGTTTTAAAATCTTCCTTGATGATCATTAGTCATTCCTTGACATTTCTACCACAAAGACTGCTGAGAATCTCTACTTTCTAAAAGAAATTTCTTCTCCATAGTGTGGAGAAGGCTGATATTATCTTTTTAAGTTGATAAATTAATTTCCCAAATATCTTCATTTTAGACAAACATAAAGGTACTTATGCTAATGTACCTCATTAAAAATGGTGATTAAACTAGACTAAACTCTAAACTATACACTTTCAAAAGTTTATTCTTCCAAGAATGTCATAGTTTCTTGATGGATGTTCCTAAACATACTTCAATTGTCCATCTGCTGAAAAATTTTAGTTAGATCTGAGGGATTTGGATGTTATAAGACCAGAAATATTTTTGGCTCATCTAAGACACATGAATCCAATGCAATAAATGTAGCAAAGAACACTTTTGTCTTCACGATTATGAAATGGCATCTGAAACCACAGAGAAATAAATGTTAATATTCCTGTAAAGGAGGTTACAAATCACAATGATAAGCTGCTGAAAATATGGAAAGGAAGAATAAAATCATTTAACATTTATACCATTTAATTTCCTTTTAAGTTCAAGGCAAAACCTTATTAAGGCAATGGAGTACTTTCAGAATCCTGATTTCTAAACTTTATAATTTACATAATTTATAAAATATTTTGAAGGTTCTTTTGCTGCTGTCCTCTAACCATCAGAAGTTCACAAAACAGCACCTGAAAAGCACTTATGTGTCATTAAATAATTCATGATATTTAGATTCTTCCCCAGTACAAAGAAGTACAGAACCTTCTATCAACTTCTCCCTACAAAGTGTCAAAAAAGAAAGAAAACAGCCTAGCAGTAGCAGAGAAAGATAATTTTCTATTGCTCCTATCTATGTAACATGTTTTTTGTTGTTTGGTTTTTTTTTTAATATCAGTATCTACAAATTGTGTTTTTCTCTATCTGGACACCTGCTTTTAATAGCTTAATTTTGTTTGCTGAATAAATACTTTTCCTTTTTTTTTTTTTATTTCTTTTTTTCCTTTGCCTTTTGAGTGTCAGTGACATGCAACAAACAGAAATGTTTCACAGACACCATCTCAGTGACTTTCTTTGCATGCAAATTTGGCACTTTGGTTTTAAAATGGTAATCCAGTGCTGTTCTCTGTACATAAAAAATGCAATAGTTGAAAAACTTTGAAATTCTCTTGTTCTATTGCTTGATGAACTTTATCTGGCTTTTCTGCACGAATTTCTCTGTCAAACTACTCTTTCCATTATACATCTAGTACCTCATTATATTTTTGCATAGCTATGACCACTTTGCTGAAGAGGGAAATACAGTGTTTTCATCAAGCTACTCAGTCTAGATGTTTTTATCATTAACATTTCATCTTACAAAAAGTGTTTGTTCAGGTAAAGTGGAACTGTGTCCTGCCATTATATTACTAAGTTATAAGTATATAAAAAATTTTGTCTCCCTCCATTATGTGCTATGCAATAAATCAACAACAGAACATGAGCAGAATCTGAATTATTGTTTCCTAGTTCAGTACAGTTTTCATCCTGTCATTTTCCCTATTCAGCTTGTAAGCATGTTTTCTATAAAATCTTTGCATTAGTACTTCTCTTTCAAGAGAAATCTCTGCAATACTGTGAGAAAGCACAGCTACGAAAGTATCATAACTCTGCATCAAGACTGATGGAGGATTTTGAGCATGGAGAAGTGAGAAACAGAAAGACTGACAGTAGAACAAGAATTGCTTTCAGTAAACATACCAAGAAGCAGTGATGTGTGTCTGAACTCTACTATAACAGGATTATATGAACATAATGAGTATTTTGGAGAACAGAAAAACTGTACAATGTCCCACAAATAATAGCAACATAACAGATTTCCTTTTCCTCTCTTCGACCATGAAGCTGCTAAGCATACCCAAAACATGAATGAGTCTGTCAAGGCAAAATAATTTTAACAAGTTTCACATAGTTTAATACATTTAAAGGTTTTGTTATCTCTTTACTTCGTTAAACATTTGTCATCAGTCACTAAGAGGATTTTTTGTATTTAGCTGTCATTACAGAAGCATTAACAGAGATGTGGAGATTTTCAAGTACCTGTATTTCACTATTAGTACAGCTGGATGCATTAAGTGCTAGTGCCAGAAAGCATCACTAAGCAGATAAGTTTATATCAGTATATCCTTAAATGCTTAACTTTTTTCTTTCTCTGTGTCATAAAAGACAGTCATGGAATCACAAATATAATCTGGTTTTCCTTTATTACCTTTCAAAATATTTTAATATCTACCTGTATCATGGGTTTTGAGGCTGGGGAGTTTTTGGTGGTTATATTTAGTGCATTTTTTTCTCAGTGACTGTTTTTGTCTTTCAGACTTGAATCTCCTACTAGATCTTTAGTGATGGAAGCACCCAGGGGAGTGCAAGTCAACGCAGCTGCAGGAGACTTAAAGGCTACCTGTAGGAAAGAACTGCACTTACAATCCACAGAAGGGGAGGTAAGTTCAGCCAACAGAGTCTACAGCTCTGTCCAGCATAACACAATGTGAGGAGGGTTTATTCAGCAGCAAGACAAACAACATAAAAAGTGGTCTACATTTGCCTTTGTTAAAGTAATTTTGGTTTAGCATGTTTATTAATACTTATTTTCTTTTTTACACATATTTGAATCCATAGGTTTCATTCACACTGAAAATAAATTTTTTAATACAGATCAGAATTACTTGTAAATTAAGAGTCAAAGAAAAAGCTTCCATGAAACAGAGTCGGTTAAGTGATACTGATAAAAAAAATAACTTGGATTAATCTGTCAAAATAAAACAGAAAAGTTTGGATTAATTTGGATTGATGCATCATTAAACCATGATTAAGAGGTTTAACAAATTTGCTTTACCTGTGGTTTAACTCCTTAATCTTTTACTACCTCTGTAAAGTACCTCTATAAGATGTTCTCTCCTGTTTCATTAGTGTCTTGTTTCAGAGATCAGTGATAAGTGATTGACATAAAAAGACTTTGATAAAGATTCTTCACATATAAACCTGTGTGAACTCATGCAAATGATTCATAATTGGGTCATTTGTTGGGATGTCAATCTAGGCATTGTAGAAATACATGAAGGATTGGTGGTATGGGAGTCCTTTCATCTCCAGACTGTAAAATGATATAACATTAAAAAAAAAAAAAAAGCAAAATACTTGTTGAAGGTTATCAAGAGCTCTCAGATTTCTATTAGGCACTTTGGAGAAATTGATAGATTTTCAATTTGTTCTCAGAGGGGCTTTCTACAGTACAGCATTTTTGGAAATCCATAATGTAAATATCTCATTGTGAATAGAGCTCTTTAGAATTTTTTTGCCTTTTGTGTTTGTGTTTTGTATTCTCTTCCAAATGTTTCTAGATGTTTTACATACTATCCAACATAAGCAAAACCAAACAAAACCAACATTCACATCTGTGGCAAATAGTCCCCTGGAATGTACACTCTGCATTACAGTGCAGACAGGAACATTTTGGCCAATATATTGCATCAAAAGCCTATTTTGATAACATTTTTTAATTGATGCAACTATCTGTCCAGCATAATTAAAACACTATGTTTTCCTAATTCAGAGTCTAAAATATTTATATACCACATGTGCCACCTTATTTTTGAGTTTCTCCAAAGTCAGCTCTTCCTCCAGTCTCTCATCTTACCAGCTCTCTTACTGTTTCCTGACATTGCTGAGGTAGAAGTAAAAAATCTAATCCTCTTTTAATAGTAAATATTGTCCTACCTCATCATTGTCCTTTCTGTGGGTATTTTTGAGTCTAGAGCTTCCTGTAACCCGTCTTGTTTCCCCTTCCATAAAGCCCTGCCTGGCCAAATCTATTATGTTTCCTAAATTTATTAACATAAATTTTATAAATAGAGTGTATTTCTTTGTTCTTTCCCTTCATGATATTGCCAGAGGGGAAAAGTAAAACTTGAATTAAAATTACGGTTAAAAGAAAGATAAGCCAACAGAAAGACTGTTACCATTCCTTACTCTCCCATTATTGTTTAAGCAATGCTTGTTTCCCTATTCTCTTTGTTTTATATCATACACCTCTTCATATAAATATTTTATCTGTGGATATATCAGGGTTTTTTCTCTAGATCAACATTGTGATTCAATTGCATGACTTCTTGTTTTTCATAAGTATTTACTATACCTTGTTGGAAAGGTAGTTCTGGAAATAATGTCCTATGATCTCAGTTGCACTTTGACAATGAGAATCCAAGAAAAAGATATAATGTCTATATTATGTATTATTCAGAACTGGAATTAGATTTGGTGTTAAACATTTAGTAGTAAAAAATGCCAGTGAAAAGCTGGCTTTTCTGACCTTCTTATTAAAAATCTGTACTTTCTCTGTGTAATAAGACTTTGCACATCTATGATTTCCTACATAGATATTAGATTGAAAATTATCAGAAAACAAATTGCTGACCTTTCTCCACTCTTTCCCAATGAAGTGTTCAATAAATATACACCTGACAAAGTTCAAAGTCTTGGATGCTTGCAATTTCAGTAAGACCTGAAATGAACTGTAGACAAAATCCATGAAGAAATTCTGTCCTGCAGTCTGACCAATGCCTCTATAGTCTACTGTTTAATCTCTTCCACTGGAGAGGGTTAGAGGAAAATGTAGAAACACTTTGGAAGGCATATGACAGGCACCAGAGCATTAACTGTTGTGCAAAGTTACTATGGCCACATTAAGGAAGTGCTGGACTAATTACAGCCTGGTGTGAGGAACCAGGGTAAACATCCAATGGGTTAAATCTACGTAAATATCTACATAACAAAATATTGATTGCTTTTCCTGCTTACAGCCCAACAGATAAACTACATTAGGGGACAGTATGAAAAATGCTTAAAGGTTTTATCATTATTAATTTAAAAAAAAACATTATTAATTTTTAAAAAAACACATTCTAAACTGATGAAGTATCTGTATTAAAAATAACCATTTTAGCCTAAGAATTGAATGGCTTATAAGTCAGGTTTTCTCCACAAATAAATTAGTGTTGTCTTTGTGAATTGGATTTGTGAACCATTTTCATGATAAGACAATTTGTACTAGAAAGACAAGCAAGGGCTTTTGTACTATTTTTATTCTAGTTAGTGAAATTTAATTTTTTAATGTTTGAAAGCTTTTTCAAAAACTCATCAAAGATATGTGAATTAGTATTTTCTTTCTCTAGTAAAGTTATTGCCCTATTGTGACAGAAAACGGCTATGTTGTACCTGGGATCAACCAATTATAGCCATGGTACAGAGCATATTTTTAAGACCAAAAATGTGTTTATGAAATACTTTTCCTCTATCTTTATTTCTATGCAGTATAATCTTTAACCTCCCACATCATAAACTGAATGCCTCTGCAAGCATCCTGAATTCTGCTGTTTGATACATTTTCTTTTTATTTACTGCAGTATTATAATAATCCTTTTAGCCCTATTACGCATCATAGTGTGTGATCCCAGACTGAATACTGGGGGCTGTAATTTAAATTCAGATTCTGCTGCCCTTTCTAAAGCTCTTGAGCTGCACCCTTGTGAGCTGAGGCATCAGCAGAATCCTTTGATTCAATTATAACTTGGCATTTAATTGTGAACTATGTATTATTCTATAAATAAACCATAACCAATGGTTTAAAGCAGCAATCATTTACACGGAACGTGAAATGTGAATCTCTAGGCTACAGATGAATCCACTGGTTCACATAAGAAAAAAAAGATCATTTCTTGTCTGGAAATTCAGTACAATGATTGCTAGTTCACTACAGCTTTTTCAAATAAAAGTGTAATGCAAAAGTACAAATAAATTTTGAATTCTGTAGATGTATATTTTTACTAGACATAAAAATGTCCAAATTGAACCTGAAACACATAATTGTATAAAGATAGCAAGCTGAAAGGTCTATTTGATGGTCTCCACTCATTGATCTAACAACTAATTGTAATAGTTTTGACCATCCAGAATCACAGAATGGGCCAAGTTGGAAGAGGACCACAATGTGACATCTGGTCCCAGTTCCCTGCTCAATCTGGGTCATTCCAGAGCACACAGGATTGTGTCCAGACAGTTTTCTGAATATCTCCAGCTCCAGTACCTCCAGAATCTACAACTTTTCTAGGCAGTCTCTGAGAGTGCTCAGTCACCCACACAGTAAAGAAGTTCCTTCTCATATTTCAGTGGAATTTTCTGTGAAAGAGTTTCTGCCCATTGTCTCTTAATGTGTTGCTTTGCACCACAAAGAAGAGCCTGCATCCGTTCTCTGAGACCCTTTGTGCAGATACTCAGTTATTGATGATGTCCTCTCCCAAATGTCTGTTCTTGAAGCTGAACAGGCCCAGCTCCCTCATCCTTTCCTCACAAGAGAGATGCTCCAATCCCTTACTCATCTTTGTTGCCCTCCACTGGACTTGCTCCCAGAGCTCCAAGTCTCTCCTGCCCTGAGGAGCCCAGAACTGGACACAGCACTCCTGATGCAGCCTCACCAGGGCTGAACAGAGGGGCAGGATCACCTCGCTCAGCCTACTGCCAATGTTCTTCCTAATGCACCCCAGGACACCATTGGCCTTCTCATCCACATGGGCACACTGCTGGCTTGTGGACAGTTTGTTGTCCACCAGAACCCTCAGGTCTTTCCCTGTACAGCTGCTTGCAGCAGATCAATCCCCAGCCTGTGCTGGTACATGGGGTTGCTCCTTCCCAGGTGCAGGACCCTGCACTTGCCTTGGCTGAATTTCAGAATGTTCCCCTCTGCCCATCCCTCCAGCTGCCGAGGCCCCTCTGAAGGGCTGCGCAGTGCTCTGGGGTATTGGCTGCACCAGCCTCTGAAGCAGAAGGCTGCCAAGCAGGATCAGCTCTCGGGAATCTTGAGCAGCTGCTATGTGTCTTTCTGGGGAGCTTCTAAGCAAGTTAGTTTCTGCACTTTCACTGCATCCTGTTGACTGTCAAAGATGAAGTTACTAAAAGGAGAAAGATGTACAGAGGCTTCTCATTTTTACAAAGATATTCATATTAATCACCTTGTCTATGACCTTTTTCCTACTTACCTCTTTGTGCCCTTGTATTTCCCTGTCAAATTACACTCTATCATAACATTTGTAGAGTATATTTTGTTGTTTCTGGCATAATGAGGCTGATCCCTCATGGTAATGCTTATAGCTGTCACATTAAAAATGAGCAATATTCTTTAACAGACAAAGTTTACTCAAAATCAGTGTGGCAGACAAGAGGCCAAGTTTATATTTATTGTTTTAGGACATCACATTTAATGAAACACACAGACAATATTATTTTATAGAGCACCAATGCATTTCACAGCATTCAGTTGAGAGATTGCATTTTCATGGGGGCACTGGCATTGTGCCGGTGTCAGACCATGACACTAACAAATGCATAAAGTACTAACATTTGATCTATAATCCTGTCCAGTTTGACGAGATGCATTTAACACAGTGAT